CAACCTGCAAACTCTGTTCGAGATTTCATGCATATTTAAGAATGCGCGTCAATTTTGCAGATTTTGATTATTCGCACTAGCGCATTTCTTGTGTGCCCGACAAGTCAACGGAAACGATTGCAGATGGCAGGCAGACATGGTCATTAAAGCAGGCACTAAAAAACAAAACAAAAAAAACATGTGTCCAAGTTGCAATTCCTTTTGATTTACTATTAGCCACATAATGAAATACTGAGTGCTTATGGGTGTTTCAGTATGAATTCTCATAATACTCGTTAATCTTTTTATCCTCATCATGGCCAGTATCTTTATCATTAGTAGTCTTTCTAAATACTATCGTTACCAATTCTCACGTTCCAGCTGACTCTCATCACTAAGACAATTTCCCAGTAACATTATCATTCTTATTCATCCTATTTCCCATCGTTATCACCTCCTCTCCCTCTCCCTCTTTCTCAAGTTCGAGCCGTACAGTCTGATCGACACAGACGAGACCGCCATTAACGCCGTCCGCCTCTACTGCAGCACGCTCGACCACATTCTCACAGGCTACGTCCAGTCCATCGAGGGACAGCACGGGGACTGGTTAGGTAATGTTGGCTTCTGTGGGATGCTGCTTTGATCCTAGGAAGGAAGGCGAATAAATAGGAGACGGGAAACAGTGAATTAGATTGGTTGATTTAGCAGTGACTGGTTTGATTTTACTCAGGGCACGGGGATAAGTGGGGAATGGGGTATGTATGAATGTAGTTTCGTGATGTAAGATTGATATTTTGGTAAATACCTTTCTTTGCGTTTAATGGGTGGTTAAACGTTATCAAATCAAGCCAAAAGTATCTTCCTCTATCTTTGTCTATCTTTCTCCCTCTCTCCATCTGTCTGTCTGTCTGGTTCTCTCTCTTTCTCTCTCTCTCTCTCTCTTTCTCTCTCTCTCTCTCTCTTTCTCTCTCTCTCTCTCTCTCTCTCTCTCTCTCTCTCTCTCTCTCTCTCTCTCTCTCTCTCTTCTCTCTCTCTCTCTCTCTCTCTATTTCTCCACCCCTCCCTCCCTCCCTCCTTCCCACCTCCTTCCCACCTCCCCTCTCCCCTTCCCTCCCTCCCTCTCCCCCTCTCTCCTTCCCTCCCCTTCCCCTCTCCCCCTCCCATCCCCCCCTCCATGCAAACACAAAACGATCTTCAATCCTCACCTCCCTCCTTTCCTCACCCTCACCCCCCCCTCCCCCCTTTTCCCAGGCATGAGGCACTGCAGCACGGGCTTCGCTACGGGCATGCGCGCTAACGTCCTCGAGAGCCAGGGCATTTTCGGGGATGACGTCGCCGTGGAGAATGTGGAACTGGCGTGCGACGACGGGAAGGAAGTCATCACGGGGGTCATCGAGGAAGCGAAGGTCAGGAGGTCGGCGAGGGACGAGAGTGTTTGGGTCGAATGCTAAGAGCGGTGATACATACACACACACAAAAAAAAACACACACGCACGCACACACACATACACACACACACACACACACACACACACACACACACACACACACACACACACACACATACACACATAT